ACCCTTCGTCAATCATCACTGTTCGGTCAATATTATTATATCATACTCTTCCGGGTTATCATGATCTCCATATTCCACGATTTTCACATGGTCTGTACTCTTCTCTCAATGTTTTCAGCAAATTTCAACACGACGGCTGCCGAGAGGAATGCCGAGAGGACTTTCATAATGGTGAAGCCTGACGGGGTCCAGCGAGGACTCATCGGCGACATCGTCCATCGCTTTGAGAAGCGTGGATTCAAGATGGTCGCTGGGAAGATGATGACGACCACTGAAGACCTCCTCAGAGTTCACTATGCTGCCGACCAGAACTTTCCGTTCTTCGGTGGTCTTTTGAAGTTGTTCTCCAGTGGACCTGTCTTTGCCATGGTATGGGAGGGGAAGGATATCGTGAAGCAGGGTCGTGCAATGCTTTATGGAGACGACCACCTCAATCCAAAGCCTGGCACCATCCGTGGTGACTACTCCGTCGACATCGGCCGCAACGTCTGCCACGGCTCTGACAGCATGGAAGTGGCCATCAAGGAGATCGAGCTCTGGTTTAAGACGGAGGAAATTATTAACTATACACTCTGCACCGAGCAATATCTATATGAATACATCTAATGATGTCTGTCTATACTCACCTTGTTTTATTCATATACATCACTGCAGTTTCACAATGTCATACACAAAGCTTGTACGTAAATATCTCTTATATCTACCTTTTAGGGGAACCTGTGCATGTAAATGCTCTGACTATCTTGACTAAAATTTAAAGACTAAGATTTGCAGGGTTGGATTTATATTGTACTCATATATTTATACATATATATATGTATGTATATATTATATATGGAAATCAAAATCGCTCGAGCAGAAGAAATCATTGGCAACAACTCACCATGCATATCGGGAAAAGACCGACCAAAGACATGACCGAAATTGTTTAGCGAACTTTATGTAAGGTTTTCATGCAAAAAGCTCACCAGGCCGAAGCGTCAGCCCACTTGTCCATCTCACAGGCTATCGGTCTACCGGGATTAAATAATCTGTATCCAGTGTGTCCAACAAAAACGAAACCCGAAACAAACAATAATTGTGAGAAAGCTGTGGGCTGTATGAAAATATTATAATCATGCCACTTGCAGACCCCTCTTAGCACAAAATAGGCCCTTTTAACGTTTATTATCGAAGCAAATATCCCTTATTTTATAATGTGTTAATAATGTTTACCTCATTATTAAAAGAAGAAAACATCGTTCTCATTTGGTTGTAAAGTCTATGTTTCCTTCAGGTCATGTTCTCATGTGATACTTAAGTTTTTAACCGTGTTCACTGTTTCACCCAAATCTGGCACGAATACATTTTGACCTGCTAATTTCAGAACAATTTTGCTCAGTAAGGTGTGTATGGATTAATGTCATCAATGTATTATATATGGGCATATTACCTCTTCCGTATGAAAGCAATGGTATATTTTTATACATATCATAGCTTTATACAGTAGGTTTGCGGGTGCACCATGTGAGAGAGAGAGAGAGAGAGAGAGGTTTGAGGAGTCCTGAAAAGGACTCTGACTCGGTAATCTTTCTTGGAAAGGTGTAGTCCTGAAAAGGACTGTTGGTTATCTTTCTTAGCATAGAAAGTAGAGAAAATAAAGAATACCTTGGATTTATGGAAAATGAGAAAACTTACATTATACGGAAAAGTTGTTGTGATTTAACAGTTAGTTATGTCTCAGATAGTACATACTGCCACGGCAGTTCCGATCCCTCCTAAAATAATTAAACGTATAAATAAACGGGTTTACACATTTTTATGGAATTCTAAAACAGAAAAGGTGAAACGAAACATCTGTCACAATCCTGAAGTAGAAGGGGGGTTGGGAATGATCGACTTAGAGTCAAAATGCCGGTCACTCCGTCTTTCATGGATTCATAAATATATAAGAGATGAAAAGTGCTTGGAAAATTTTGTTTAGATATTGGATCAAGAAAATTGGGGATTTGCCACTTTGTTTGCATTTTAATTGCAAAAAGAGCGATATGTGTCGTATTTGTAGAAAAAAAAAGTTGCCTAACTTTTATGTTGACATGTCTTGTTCTTGGGCTGATTTAAAATACATTGATATGTTTAAAGTAACAGATATTGAAAATGAAATTATTTGGTATAATAGCAATATTAAAGATATGAATGAGTTATTGTATTTTCCAAACTGGATGAGAGCAGTATTTTTAAAGTGAAACAAGTCTTAGTAAACGGTATCTGGTAAGAAGTTGATTCTATTTGTATTAATTTTCAAGAAAATGAATTACTTTCCACCTTCAAATTGGCAAAGTTAAAAAGTGCATTTCCGAATGTTTGGTTGCAGAAATTACGTAATAGGTTACAATATGTAAATAGTCCACCGTCTGCAGTGGAATCCAGTATAATAGAAATAGTAACAGGTGACTCCATCGATGTAGTGTTCATGAAAGCCAAACACTATTAGAATTTGATGTTAGAAAAAAATAGACAGGATCTGCCGTGCATTTATTTTTGGAACGCTTATTTTGGTTTACCTAATGAGTTTAACTGGAATACGGTGCTCCATCATACATTTTACTTTATAAATGACAACAGAATTAAGCAGTTTAATTTTAAATATCTTCATAGAATATTGCCCAGTAAAGACAATTTATGTAAATGGAAGATTAAAAATAATAATCTATGTGATATATGTAAGATTCCAGATACAACTAACCACCTTCTCCTGGCTTGCAAGAAGGTTTTGCTTTTTTTTATAAGTTTGTATCCAAATTAATTGATACTTTGTTTAATTTTAAAATCTTTTTGAACGAAGATATTCTTTTAATAGGTCATGAAATAGAAGAGAAATGAATCTTGTCAATCTTATTTTAAACTTCGCTCAGTTTATTATCTATAGAAACTATATTAGGGAATGTTTTGGAAGTGAAAAGCACAGGATCATGCTGTATATTTGATAAAAGAATTAAAGGTGGAAATTCGCACCTATCTCAATATGAAATGTAATCAAAAGAAATTCGATACAAACGAAGTTACAAAAGTTACAAAAATGTTTTCATTATTTTAGTTAGTGATTATGTCACATTAGTTTCATGTTCTGTACTATGTATGATATGTTACAACTGCATTAATTCTGTATTTAAACACTGTTGTAAATAGCTGTTATTTTATGATATGAACAAATAAAGTCCCTCGAAAGAGGATAAATAGGGAGAAAAAAAAATCTTTCTTAGCATATAGTTCTCAGGAGAACTATAGCGCTTGGAGAGGATGAGTGGCTCGACGTTTCGAACAGGTTGATTGTTGACTCTCAGAAGTGGAGAATAGCTAGTGTATCTACATCACCATGCAAGCCGACACTTACAAGCAGCATTTATATCATAGCTTGTTCACAATACTCATTTGTCGTTCAGTTTCGTTTTGTTGCGGGTTGCACTGGCCATGTATAACAATAATTTCTGATTGATAATTATTAATTCTACTCCAGGTGATCAAAACCCGCAGATCAGGTCCAAAGGAAATCAATTCCTCTTCTTGCTCGTTATGAGGTTTGGGTTTTGACCATGCATATTGAGGTTTCGTTTTTTTATTTTTTATTGATAGCTACGTTTCCACCTACATAAATTTACCATAGCGGTTTTTTTAATTCTAATTTAATTGAATTGATTTTATTTCCACATCTCCATTTTAGAAACAAGTATACTATAAACCATGGCAAAGTGTTTCATATTTCACATAGCTTAAAAATTACGCACGAATACGCATTCTCGTGAATATCAACAGTCATCTGGCATCGCCACATCGGACGGAATCGTATCACCGAAGATCCCAAACAAATTATCCTCCTTCGAACTTTTATCAGGGGTAAGATAACACTTTGTTTTTAGAATAATGCCAATTGCAAGTAGGCGTCATTTACATTGTGTTATTACCTGCTCTAATCGAACCTGTTATTATGGTTAAAGGGCAATCGACCTTTGTAATAATACCATTTGTATGAAATCGGAAAAATATGAGAACCAATACAGCGAAAGTGTGATATAAATCAGATTAATGATTTAAAAAAAGTTATACGTCAAGTTTTAGGCAAAGTTTTGAACACCACAACGGTATATTCAGGTGGCTAGCTGACTTGGCCAATCAATTCACACTCAGTTTTTTAAATTTTGTATTTGTGTGTTTTTAGCGTACCTCTTGCCGCTAGCAGGGGGGGGGTTGAATGCACCCGCATCCCCAAAGATACGGGCCTAAATTTGAACATCGTAAAACTAAAGAGTAAATTCTTATCAAGTTATTCTTCAGTGTCCATTAACGTGGGAGTAAGTCATTATTGAAGTGCAGACACCAGGAACCAAAGCAAATTTTGCATACCTCGTTTTCAATATACTTTTGGCACAGATCACAGAGTCCCTCTAAAGTGTTAGGAGCCCCAACTTCGCCACAAATCTGATGGCAACATTTGGAATCATAATGTGAAAGAGGATGTCATATTTCTGCAATGATTTCCCCAAAAATTTGTTTGAAGACAAATATTGATAAAAGAATACACATAATTTGGGTTTTCTGTTGCTGGCAGAAAAACTTAATTTTGTATTATTTCATCAATATTCGACTTCAAACACATATGTTTTGAAATTCCCCGGGAAAATGCTTGCAGAAATGTGTCTTAAATGACATCCTCTTTCATATTAGGATACAATTTAAGTGAAATTTTGAGATCAAATTAATGGGGCTCCCAACATTTTAAAGGGGCTTTAAGCATTAAAATATATATATCTTACATTGTGTTACTTCATATAATCAACCTCAGGCTATTTCGAAAGGCTTGTAGGTCACCAATTAAAATGTGCGGATATTACAGTCACTGACTTAATCCAAATGTTATTTCTATAGACAAGAAATAATATGCTAAACTTGCCCTAGAGGTGATTTCTCGATTATGATATTGTTATACACATTCCCAACTTTTGTATTTCTTCTAGACTGGCAGAATGGCGTCGAGGGTGTATACTCTGTACCTCTTGGCCGCTCTCTTCATCGTAAGCAGTTTCTTCGTGGCGGACAACGACGGTAAGAATATTAAGGCCGAGATCAAATCCATCGAACTCGATTCGAGCTCGTTAAGCCAGGGGGGGGGGGGAATTATATAAATTGTAAGCTAATACTTTGACGAGTCTCTATTGCTTGTAAGTAGGTCCATGGACACACAGAGGCGAAATTACACTTGCGTTATTAACTCCGTTATGCTTTCCTTTCACATGTGATCAACCATTTAGTCAGTAAAGGCTCATTCAGAAATGACGCGGTTAACCGCCGCAAAAAAAGAAGCCGCCGCGGTATATTTTGGTACGTGTGAACGAATGGCGACTGCGCGCAGCAAATGATATGCGCGTATTCAGTGCGCTCTGTATTATAAGGTAAATGAAATATGAAGCATATTCCACTTTACATCATCATAACAAAAAATGTCTGAAGGAGACTTAAAGGTAATACAAAGTTTTGTTATGGGGTCATGAATTTTGTTAAAATGAACATATTGGAAGCATATGCGATCCTACAATATTTAGTGATCGTTGTCGCGGTTAAAATCGAATCTAAAGTTATGAAATTGTAAATGATAAACTCTTTATGTTGTATAGCTCCCTCTCAAGGTCAAGATATTACTTAAGCTATAAAACAATGTCTCTGGACTAAAATCGACCGATTTGCTATTCCCGTTTGGAAATAATTATCACAACTACATATTCTGAGATTTTCATGGTCGCAGTTACCATAGTATATACGGCCGTAGGCGCTTTTCGAAATTTATCAAAATTTACCGGGAGCACCGGGAAATTTTTATATTCAAATTTTCTCGAAAGCAGAATTGTTTTAATGGCTAAATTTTCTGCTGCTTAAAAAACAAACATATGGGCATCCAAATATATCAATATTGTAAAGAATCACTATCCACCCTATTTCAAAATTTCCCAAAACTGTGTATTACCTTTAATAATACAAAATAAAACAACTAATAGTGGTCTATTGTAGAGCGCTCACGTATTGCACATTGCCACTCCTGACGTTCCATTGTGGATATAACTCAATGTTTGAATTGTTCATTTTGCAATATTTCTCATTTGAAGTAAAAGACCCGCAAAAGTTGCTGGCGTAGTCAAACCTCATTCTTTTGACGCATCGTAATCCACTGGCTTCTTTAACAAAGGCGGTCCAACCTAAACGCGGTTGATGAACTTAGTTCCGCTGTATTGTGCAGGACCAAGTGTGAACTTGTTTATTCTGTACAACTATTATACGCTTTTATCATGTTTATTACTTAAAGAACAAAGAAAAAACAGAAATCAATCCAGTAATGAAATTCAAATTAAATGAGAGATCGATTGACGCCCCTGTGCAAGTGGCATTATGTGTGGTTCTTAAGACACTAGTTACTCTGGGTGTGAACAGCATGTTCTAAAATAATATACCTTTCATCACTGTCCAGCAAATATAATTATATCATGCTCTTCGGGTTGCTCAAGGTATGTACTGTTCTCTCAATGTCTTCAGCAAATTTCAACACGACGGCTGCCGAGAGGAATGCCGAGAGGACTTTCATCATGGTGACGCCTGGCGGAGTTCAGCGAGGACTAATCGGCGACATAGTCCATCGCTTTGAGAAGCGTGGATATAAGATGATCGCTGGGAAGATGATGACGACCACTGAGGACCTCTTCAGAGTTCACTATGTTTCCCACCAGACCACTCCGTTCTTCGATGATCTCTTGAAGTTGTTCTCCAGTGTACCCGTCTTTGCCATGGTATGGGAAGGAAAGGATATCGTGAAGCATGGTCGTGCAATGCTTTTTGGAGATGACGACCTCAATCCAATGCCTGGCACCATCCGTGGTGACTACTCTGTCGACATCCACCGCAAAGTCTGCCACGGCTCTGGCAGCGTGGAAGAGGCCAACATGGATATCGAACTTTGGTTTCAGACGGAGGAGATTATTAACTACACACTCTGCACCGAGCAATATCTATATGAATACATCTAATGATGTCTGTCTATACTCACCTTGTTTTATTCATATAATTCACTGCAGTGTCACAATGTCATATACACATAGCTTGTACGTAAATATCTCTTATATCTACCTTTTAGGGGAACCTGTGCATGTAAATGCTCTGACTATCTTTACTAAGAATTAAAGACTAAGATTTGCAGGGTTGGATTTATATTGTCCTCATATTTATATATATATATATGGAAATCAAAACCACTCGAGGAGAAATCATTGGCTATAACACACCATGCACATCGGGAAATCCCACTAGAGAGACCGCACACACGACCGAAATTGTTTAGCGAACCTTCTGTAAGGTTGTCATGCAAAAGGCTCACCAGGCCGAAGCGTCAGCCCACTTGTCCATATAGGCTATCGGTCTACCGGGATGTCCTAGAACTCATATGAGTAGCTTAGAAAAGACACTATACTATCATTAAATAGTAATATATAGACTATAATAAAAACAATATATTACAAATCTAGCTATTTTTAAAAGATTGTATAACTTATTTTATTGTTTACACTATTAATCACCCGTCTATAGTACTGAATACAGATACACTTACTGGTTAAGGACACATGCCCAGTCGGTACTGTTGATACTTGCTATAGAGAGTATGATGACTATATGTTAAACGTCTTTAGAATTTATCACTTTACCAACACATTTTCTAAAATAAATGCCGGATGACGATGACGATTACCATTTTCATTACTACTACTACTACCACTACTACTACGCTACTACTACTACTACTACTACTACTACTACTACTACTACTAATACTACTATTACTTCTTCTACTAATACTACTACTTCTACTATTAATACCAGTTATACTACTAGTAATACTACTAACACTACTACAATATTTAGAGGTCACATCATCCGTATATTATACTAAGGCTGTGTTTTATTAAACCACAGTTCTGCAACACCTCTCTTTCAAATCAAGTGATAATTCTGTCATGCACTGGTCGCAAAATGTCCCTTTTCTGAGCATGTGCGACAAATTCCATGTCATAATGATACACCAATCCTAAATAGATTTCTTGTGCTAGAAAACCCATCTGATCTACACTACCATCTTTAACCACTAAAGACTGAATATAAACATGACTTAAAAATAAAAACCTCGGTTGAGGTACAAGTGAAACCAAATTTAAAACGCTTTCGAGGAATTGGTAAGGTTAATTATTGTCACATTTTCGCAGACAAGTCGGCTAAATACAAGTCAATCTGTCAATGCATCTATCATATGGGATGGGTTTTAAAAACAAACTTCATGGAAGAGGACGTTTAACAGAGAAGTGTTTGGTTATGTTTTCCTAGGTTCAACACGTTTTCGAATTTCTCCTATTTCGAAATTTCAATAATAGTTGGTAACCATGAATTATTCTATAAATTAGTAAAGAAATGAATGTGTATATATATTAGGTAATGTCAAATGTCTTCGTTATTAGTAAATATCAATATCATTATTACGAAGATGATTACTATTATACTATCAATATCATCATCATCACTACCGTTATTAATATCAGGGTTATGCTCATTATCATTATCATCACTATGATCATTACCATGTTTATTATTTACCGTTATCTTTACTACAATAACTATCATCACCAGAAGCACCATCGCCATCATCGTCGTCTTCATCACTGGTCCATTGCTATCAATATCATCAACACATCATCATTGCTATAACCTCAAGCCTGAAATAGAGGCTAGATCAGACTGGCATTCTGAAAGCTTCGAAGAAGGCCTTGTGAAGAATGAAAACAACCCCAAAACAAAACAAAATCAAAAATCTCTCCCAACAAGGTGATGAGTGATAAATCTCTAGTTTGATCAACATCCAACAGAAGATTTAGTGATGATGCGGAGAAGATGACTAGAAAAGAAGAAGGTTCAAGATTTGTTGTTGTTGTTATTATCGTTGATGCCATTAATGCAGATATTGCTGTTGATGCCGCTGTTGTTGTTGCGGTTGTGGTTGCCTTTCTAATTTTTGTTTTTCGAAGGCTTGTAGCTGCAACTTCACGTTCATAATTCTGAAACAAAAACCTCCATAGTTTTGGAACAGAGGTCTGTTCCGAATATGAAATATGGCTCAAGAATATGATGGGACTGATTTTTTGGTTTAGGTAGGGTTTAATTTCATTTTCGGCATTATGTACTTTCGGGATTATGAAACTTGGGGATTATTCGGAATAATGAGCCCTACTTCATTTTGAGAAAAGTGAGCCCTATTTAACTTTTAGGATTACAAACGCTTTCGGAATTACGAACCTTTAAAAATAGGTACCGTTAACATCGTAAACCTTCTGTAAAATTAACTTCCGGAATGATGAACCCTCCTAAAAGGACATGTAACCACCCCAACCACACACACACACACACACACGCATACACATACACACACTCTCTCTCTCTCTCTCTCTCTTCCGCCCACTTCACCTTCATCCTTTCGAACGGGACTCCGAAACATGCCACAGTCGTCATTTCAGCCTTCGTAAAGTTTCATGACGATTCGTTGTTTTTTAGATTGAGAATAATGAAATCGGTAAAGGCAACTACTAGAAGGCGTTTGTTATTTTTTTTTTGTACTAAACAATTGGCAAACACTCCCTTTTTCATGCTGCTTTTTGAAGAAAATGAATATGTGTGGAAGAAACTCATGAAGTGGCCATTTCAGATTGGCTTGTATTCTTGGTTGTTGCACACGAAATGCCGGCAATTTACGATGCTGGCAAATACAAAGCTCGATTTGTAACGTTGTTTTAAAATACGAATAATAATAACAACAATATGTCTTGTTAACCCAGGGTAGCCTCATTGGTACTAATACTGTTCTCCCTGAGTAACTTGCAGTCACATTAATACCTCGGCTTTAGGAGAGCTACCTTCTATTGCGCTCAAGCATTCAAGAAATGTCTTTCTACCGGGTACCCAACTGCTACACCTGGGTAGAGAGTGGCACATATAGATTGATATCTTGCCAAAGAACAGTGGCCGACAGAACGACCATTTGACGAGCTGGCAACAACAAGTTGATAGTATGGACGATTTTAGGGGCTGTACACCTACCAGGTTTAAACTTGTATATATTCCTTTTAAAGTTTCAGGCCCGAATTCACAAAGGAGGTTTGTCGACAAACCTTGGTTTTCGTACGTCATATGACGCGTTTTACGCGTTTTTTACAAACCTTGTTTGTAAAGAACAAAAGGAGGTTTGGCGAAACAAAAGGAGGTTTGAGCTCAAACCTTGGTCTGAGCTCAAACCTTGCTTTGTGAATTCGGGCCTCAGCGTGTAAGTTTTTACCTTTTTTCAGAACTATTTTTGTAGAAGGCGGGGCATAAGACACTACGTCACTATTCGGTAGGACTGAGAGATTATCTCACCTTATAAAGGGTTGGGATTACGACAGGTCTCGGATTATCCTGAAGAGAGTTGGACCAAAAATTGGAACATCGGCACGACATTGACCGATCATCAATCTCTACCCTGAATCGAATTACAAACATGATGTGATGCTTTTAGCGATGGAATTCTCAGCGACGATGCCAAGATAACGGAACCAAAGTCTCGTCTTCCACGATTTTAACGATTTATTGCTATCCACTGCTAGAGAATACGGCGTTGATTGGAATAACCTCCTTCCCCAGTTATTCGAGAGAGTGTCAACGAACGCTAGTTCAAAATGGAAGGTACGTGGACAGAACGACAGAATTAGCAGTCGCCGCCATCCCATGCCCTCAAAAAGCTCCCTGCGTGATGCGGAGTTTAACAAAAAACACAAGAAAGAGATGTTGAAATAGGTGCTCAAACTTGTCACTCAAAAAGCTTCATTTAAGAAGTTGGTAAACACCTTTATAAATGATTAAGGTGCTCTCGAAGTATGTTTTACGTTCTACAAACAATGCATGAAAAGGCTCTCAATTTTGTCTATTTTATGCCGTTACAGATCTTCGATATTAGTTTCTTGAATAATCATTTATTGGAAAATACGCGCGAGTATCTTTGAATTGGCAACTTGAAATTTATGACAAACTTAAATACATTTGTAATCAATTTGACATTAATTTCCTACCTTATCATGTAGATGCTTATTCCGTGCATTGTATTATATACATATGCTCTTTTGTTTTAGCATTGTAAGACTGAAAGAAAAACATCTACAAATGCCGATTTGAAGAGCTAAAGATTATTCATCTAGCTGAGAAAAAAATATTGAATACATTTAACAATGACATCGTATCATCTTTAGCATTATTAACTATATCAACTGATGTAAGTCTGTCTTGGCGGATAATGATCAGCTGATGCCTGGTCTACTTCAAGAATTCTGCAGACCTAGGTACCTGACAGGTCATATTCAATCTCCAGCAGCGATAAAACCAACCGCTGATGCTACATCATCAGACAATTACCAAACAGCACGTTTTGTTGACATTCGTAGTATTCATTCAAAATGAGTGATAACCGCGGACTTTTTCCCCTTTTTTTGTTCCAAGTCCCGTATGAAGTAAGTTGCATTCGTGCAAGACCGGTTCGGCGCGTTCCCGAGCAATGCACATGCACGGCGTGCAAGATTTGAAAACATAGCTCGTAAAGATTGTTATGTCACCGGAAGTTGCATTCGTGATAAACGGTTCGGCGCGTTCCCGAGCAATGCACCTACCTGACGTGCAAGATTGGAAAAACATAGCTCGTAGAGATAGTTATGCCACCGGAAGTTGCACGCGGTCATACGTCAAATTCGAGAAGCTCCGAAGATGTTCCCTTCCAGAGAGATTACCTGTGGGAGGGAACTAGTTGGAGCTAGATGATTTGACATTAGAGCCCACGCCTGTGTCAATATAGCAACTCTCTCTCGCAGTGGGCTATGATGGAAACAATGCCCCGTCGCAAGGATTTGCGCAAAGGAAACTTTTGTCACTTTGGAAAGTTAATCATATTTAAGAAATAGATAATATTTGTTTATGCATTAGGAAATTTGACTTACCCGACTCAGTGGTTGGTTCCGGATCTCTTTCCGACAGCATGATGATCGTCGCCCGACAAAGACCCGAACCTGTCCGAGACGTGCTCGAAGGAACCCGATTCAATCCGACGTAAATATCGTGGTCCATCTCCCCGTATTCGGGCGTCTGTCCATTCAGCATGAATAAATACCGACTTTCCATGACCCCTTTGCTGTTTTCGCGGTTATTCCACCTGACTTTCTCGTCTGCGATCTCCAGCTTGAGCTTGGTGCCGGCTTCGACGACATCGTCGACGATCTTGAGAAGGAGACCACCGTTTAAGGTCTCCGATGTATACCCTGAGAGTCCGTTGCTATAGACGCGCATCTGCTTGTCGCGTATCTGTAATTCCGCCATGTTAGACGTCAAGTCACCATCGCCTCCCATCCCGTCGCCGCCGGGCGAGTCGGAAATATCCAATGTCCAATTTCGCGGCGGTTCGTAGTAGTCTAAAAAGAACCTGGCCATCCTGTAGGGACCAGCAAACGAGATTTTGAGCACGGCTTGTCCGTCGCAGCCAAAATTCGGCGAGGCTTTTGGATAGACCAAGAGTTTGATGAATTCGCCCTGACCTTGTTCTACGATACCCGTACGAAGATCTAGAAAGATTCTCTCCTGTTCGTACAAACTCTGTCCATGGTCTCCGTGACATAGGGCTGACGGCATGCATTGGAAGGCAAAAAACGAAAAAGGCAAATGTTAAAATAAGTAACAATAATAACATTCCGATCCTGGTTTGCGCATATGACATAATCATAGAACTTCTCTATGCGCATCCAAAAAGCTTTATAAAACATTAATAGTCTACTCCGGCTTTAGCTCTAAGAATAAATCATACAACCCCTTGCTAGACCTGGGTTTAGGACGTAATAACCGGGGCAGGTTATCGAACCTCGTACCTTGTTACTCTCAGCTCAGTCCGGTGAATTATCCACTGGACCACATCATACCAGTTACATCCAATAACATTTGTTGAATCACAATAATTTTTTTTTTAATTGCTTTGATTTTATTTCGACTTATTTGCTTTGCTTTGATTTGATTTGATTTTTCCTGATTCATTTGATTTGTTTAATTGGATTTGATTCGGTTTGATTAAATTTGATTTGTTTAATTCGATTTGATTCGGTTTGATTAAATTTGATTTGGATTAATTGGATTTGATTCGGTTGAAATTTATTTGATTTGTTTGATTTGATTTGATTTGTTTTGCTTTGATTTGATTTGTTTTGCTTTGATTAGATTTGGTTTGACTCGGTTTGGTTCGATTTGATTTGATTCTATTTGCTTCGTTCTGCTTTAATTCAGTTGAATTTATTTGATTTGATTTGATTTGGTTTGCTTTGGTTTGACTTTGAGTGGTTTAATCATGTGATTCAGCATCGTTTATACGCGAAATATTGGGCGTTAATCAATTAAGGTCTGTTATTATTACCGGAACCAAAAACATGTATAAAGCATTCAGCTTCTTTCTTTATTGATACTAAAATGGATCGGAAATCAAGGAAAACATGTGAGAATATTTTGCAAGATATGTGTCTTGATACATTGTGACCCATGCAGGATAAGTCAACAGGTTTCTTTCCAATTTACTACTTGATAGCTGAGCTTAATATAACCTTTCATAATTACTATTTTCGTAATTTAAACCTATATCAATCCTTCTTAGAAGTTTTACAAGTGTCAGAAAAGTATATATCGTCAAGGGGGACTCTAAAGTTACCAATTAAAAAGTAATCATGACAGCTTATTCGTGCTAATCCCCGCCAAGGAAAGGAAAATGTATCATTGAATTTAGCGGGATACATTTAGGGATTCTAGAAGGTAACAATATGACTATTTATTCTGAGGCGTGAAGGGATCGTTACACATATTTTATCTCCCAAAACTGTACTTCTTGAAGGGTTTCTCAGATAGAAAAAGAGTGTCATAAGGATTATAGATAATTAGGAAACTTGTTACATCTTCGCTATGTTTGTAATGTCAATTTATTTCGTGATTGTCAGTGAGTAAATTACTTTAGTTATGGATTGTCGGGAGCACAACGGGCCCCTTCCCTCCTCATCAAGAAGAATTAAACATTCCTTTGGTACAAGTAAATGTTCCGTAAGCCCTCATTGTGTCCCTTATCCCCCTCCCCCTACCCTTTAAAAATGTCAAATTCTGAAAAACACGTGAAAGCGAGAAGGAAAACAATTTTTTTTTCCTAGGGGCGGTATATACTGGGGGCTCATCAGAAATATATTGAGTGAATTCGCACACAAATAATAGAAAAATATATGCTACTTTCGATTGAGGGAAATGATTTCAGAATCCCTTCTCCTTTATAAGTATCCTAGTCCTCCCCCTCCCCTCCCCTTGACATTTTTTCTTTTAAATTCCAAATAAACTTACTGAAGACAGGTACATTATTTTGACAAGTAGATTTAGTTATCTTCTTGAATACCTTGCTGTACATTGTACTCACCGGAATTGCTATAGGGTAAATCATGAACCTCACTATGAGCTATAAAAAGGGGGCTCTCAAACTCTTCTATGTAGGGTGAAACGTGTCATTGCTAAATATGTTGGCATAATCACTTCATGTCAGCCCCCTCCCCCTAAACCTTCTCAATAGGAACACTGGTTACGCCTCTAATCCATGATGTAACCTTCTCAAGGGAGTGAAGTCTTACTAATATATCTATTAGTGTGATTAGTTCGGAGGGCCTTTTGTCCAATTTTCCGCGCGGGTTGAGTTACCACTTAAAACATGGACAAAGCATGTGTCAATGAAAACTTTTTTTTGGAAGTCGTCCCACTGTATGGCAAACAAAAAGCGGATTTAACGCCCACTTTAGCTTGATTTAAACAACTCTTCAGAAATCGGGACTCGGTGCCCCTAAAGTGCAACTGAGGTTATTCGTATTCACTGTCTTGGCTGGATTCCACAAATCCCTCTTCTATTTTTACCAAATCCACTCCCGTCATGACGAAAATGGAGGTTAATGTTTAACTTCTGCTTAAATAAAATGTATTTTGGAGTGAAAATGTTGTCCACTTTCGACAGAGAGTGAAGGTTCCACTATTTGATTTGTATAGTATTGCTTTTGTGTGGTTTGGTTCTCTCGCATCTCCCCCCCCCCCTATCTCTCTCTCTCTCTCTCTCTCTCTCTTCTATTTCTCTCTCTCTCCAATTATATCTCTCTCCAACCCTCCCCCTCTTCTTTCCATCCATGCTCCCCGAAATTGAAAGTGCTTTCATCTTTTGTTTAATTCATGATGAGCATATCAAGCGATATTCAACATTACCAATCTCTCTCTCTCTCTCTCTCTCTCTATCTCTCATTCTATCTCTCTCTCTCTCTGTCTCTCTCTCCCCTTTTCACTCTATTTCTCTGTTTTCCTCATTTTAACACTGGTAAAGGATTGAGAAGGCTTATCATTAGTAACATGGTTTCAGCAATAATTTCATCTAAGAACGCAATAGACTGGCACAATGCCACTCCCCGTTCGCTCCATTATTATTACCCTGGCTTTTAGCACGGCTGCCATTACAGCGCTCGAGCATTTCAAGGAACTTGCCCATTTACCTCATATGGGTGGAGTAAGTGCTGCGATGGGGATTCGAACCCCGTACATTGTGGTTCACAGTCCAGAGACTTGTCCACCGGACCACAACACATCCCGCTCCTGACACCGTTGAGGATGTCTGTTTTTTTTAATATTTATGAGCCTGGTGCTTATAATGGTGGAAAATATGGCGACTTTTGGCCACGAAGTTCCAATGATCTAGCCACACTCGAAAATTATAAATTTTAGTAATTTCATATTCTGGAACAGATGGGAAAGTAGTACGTCATTACATTACCGCTTCAGCCAATTTGAAGTATCCATACTTATAGTGATTACAACTTTTAAAAATGTATAACTTTCTTAAATTTAGTCAGATTTAATTGAAACTTTCATCAGTTTGCTTCTCTGATTTGTCTGCCTTCTTTTAGATTAGTTGTCTGTATGGGTAGGATTTCCCTATAAGTATAAGATGAGCCCAAATTCTGAAGGATGGTTAGATGAATGAATAGTGTTGCGAGTTTGTCCGAGAGAGGGCAATGTTTCGGACAGCAATGTTCGCATAATGGAGCGAATGGATTGTTTGAAAAAGGAGTTTATGAGATTCTTCTCCTTGATGAATACGGTTTATAGCTGGGCATGAGTGGAGGGGGTAGACGGAGGCATCCCCTCTTCCGCACACACAACGTCGAATAACAGCATAATAATGGGACACTAATTGATATAGGGAAGGGGAACCCAATGATACCATGCCGCGACCTACACTGCTATAAACCTTTTAAATTTCGTCTACCGATAGCAAGATCAGCCCCCCACCCCCCTCTCACCATTGAAGACAAAATGATGAAATTTATAAGCAGATGATAAGCAGGGAGTTGGATAAGTGATGTTCGCTAGAGATAAATAATCAATAAACCTTTCCTTGGCACACTTGAAATTTACCATTTAAATTTTACGCATTATAAGTATAAATTGTTTTAACAACACCTTATCTCCAGAAAATAAACACCTCTTTCAGTTTCATGTCAAGTATTGAGCTCCATTTACAGCCAAAAACATAATCCCTGGCAAAGATGATATTTTAGAATGTACAAGTCCTTAAATTCAAATTACAGGTTGTTTCGTTGTTTACTATTCATAATTCTAGACATAATATTCTTGATCAACAACCTGTTACAGGTGCGCGATAAGGTCTGTGTACTGTAGACTACAGCCTGACGAAAACGTCACAATGCCAATCATGTATGATTGACAGGTGTGCAGTTCGCTATCCCAGTGTGCTTACCCGGTATGTTATGCTATTCTTCATTATTGTTGGAATTAAGTAGCAATTTCAACTTAATCTGGCCCGTGGGGTTATACATGCATTATGCGAGTCCAGTGATGGACGTGTACCTCATACACGTAGTCTTATGTTCACCCCTTAACCAACATCATAACGAAATAGACACCAGATTTTAGTATTAAATTTTGTAAGGGCAGTCAGATTTGTACTAAATATAAGATTCTTTCCTACATGGCCTTCACGACGGTATTCAGACCGTGGATCACATGGTTCGCGGTTCGAGTCCCGCCCCGATACTAATTCCCCTTGGCAATGACAATACATTAGCAGAGGTGATTATATGTGCGCTATAGAAATATCCAATATCATTAGTATTTCTATAATTATTATCATCATCATCACCATCATCATCAGTAGTAGTATTATTATTATCATTATCAATAATGTTATTATTGTTATCATGATGATTACTACTCTTACTATAATCCTCATCATTTTTGTTTTGTTTTTATTGTTACCAGATCAGATACAGAATGTGCGACTCGGAAAACAGTTTACGAGATCGTTCACGAGATCTGTTTATTATCTTCTTTAGGAACCAAATCATGGTGAGAGATCCGATAAATAATGTAAGATATAAACGACACCGAATCTGCATGCATTGCATAAAAATGGATGAAAACCAGCGAATATAATTTCTGAGTGACGTCACAATACGCCGTCATACCAAGAAGTTACTAGCCAACTTCTTGGTCATACTCGGAACCTGCGGAAAACATCATAACGTCACGTGATGGCACGTTGAATAGGGGTGGGCCT